AGGAATAACTGTAAAATTGTAAAATGTATAGATAATTCACATCCGTTATATATGAGGGTTTAAAAAAAGAAGAAGCTATTTGATGATAATAGCTCAATTTCATAATTAACATTAAATTTCCTTTTTACGAATGCATACCTCCATTTAGCATAGACTGTAGTCACCTAGGGGGATTTTAGATTTGTAAAACATTATTACGATAAGAAACAAATATTATGACTTATGAGATGGATTGGTCTTCGATATAACGGGATGATGGCAAACTCTACTAAGTCCTAAATAGCATTCGGAGAGGCAATTAAAACAGACGTTTAACTGAAATAAAAACTAGCTAATTAAGCGCTGCCCGGTTCGAGTAGCGACGGGAGATCCTACTATATAGACTCAGTAGCCCGTTGCTTATACTTCGCTATTAATCCTTGTTTGGTTTTATTATTAAAATAAATTTTAATAACATCTTCTAGAATACCAAAAGCGCAAAAATTAATTTTCGCTCGATATCGCTCTATATTGATGTTCAAACGAGCCGCCGCAATCCCCTGCAGTCGATAGTAAAACTAAGCATCGTATCAGTCATGTTGGAAAATATGAAAGGGCCATCATGCATGTCAAGTTATGAGTGTGGGCGAAGATCACTACCTCCCAAGGCGTGTCGCGCCGAAGGCGAACGAATGCGGAATTCGGGAATTTTTTTACGCAAGATTCCAACCAAATATACGATAACTGTAATAAAAAACACGGCTAGTGTGGGGGCCGCTCTGACGGGCGAGGCGATTGCATCCCTGGTCAATGACGCACACTCGTACGGTGCGGGTTATCTGATGGTTGCTGACGCGTAATCCCGCGAGAATTCAATAAAATGTCCCAGGCGGACTGACCCCACGCATCATCTCGACCAGGCTAATGCCAATAAACCGATAGAGGGAAAACAAGCAATTTCTAGGCGTTATCGCCGCGCCGCCGTTCTTAACGTGCGATTCTTATACGAAGGAATTTGATTTCATACGTCTATGTAATTGAGTCTCATATACACGTGCCAACACCCGCATACATACACACACCCACGCACACACACACACACACACACACACACACACACACACACACACACACACAAACATTCACACACACGCAC